TAAGTTTTGTAACACCATTTGTATATACAGGTACAGAACATAACTTTGGACCACTCAGCAGCAGTCCAGTCCTTTTTGTCTGTAGCCCAGGCGAGACGCTTCTGACGCTGTCTCTTGTTCAAGAGTGGTTTGACACAAGGAATGCAACAGCTGAAACCCATGTCTTGCACACGTCTGTGCGTGGTGGTTCTTGAAACACTGACTCCAGCTGCAGTCCACTCTTTGTTAATCTCCCCTACATTTTTGAATAGGTTTCGTTTCACAATCCTCTCCAGGGTGCGGTTATCCCTATTGCTTGTACACTTTGTTCCACCACATCTTTTCGTTCCCTTCGCCTTTCTATTAATGTGCTTGGACACAGAGCTCTGTGAACAGCCAGCCTCTTTAGCAATGACGCTTTGTGTCTTGCCCTCCTTGTGCAAGGTGTCAATGGTCGTCTTTTGGACAACTGTCAAGTCAGCAGTCTTCCCCATGATTGTGTAGCCTACAGAACTAGACTGAGAGACCATTTAAAGGCCTTTGCAGGTGTTTTGAGTTAATTAGCTGATTAGAGTGTGGCACCAGGTGTCTTCAATATTGAACCTTTTCACAACATTCTAATTTTCTGAGATACTGAATTTGGGGTTTTCATTAGTTGTCAGTTATAATCATCAAAATTAAAAGAAATAAACACCAGAAATATATCAGTCTGTGTGTAATGAATGAATATAATATACAAGTTTCACTTTTTGAATGGAATTACTGAAATAAATCAACTTTTTGATGATATTCTAATTTATTGACCAGCACCTGTATTGCTATGTAGCAGGGCAGGATAGTGAGTAGGAAGTGACATCACACACAAGAGGAGGAAGGAGGGATTACAAATTGGAGACACCTGACCTGGGAGAGGGGGGAAGCTCAAACAAAGGAGAACAAAGGAGGCTGAAGCAGAAACAGTGTGAGAAGTGAGATAAGGAAATGAAGGAAAAGAAACCAGTACTGGGATCTAGAACTAAAAACTCTGAGTAAACTGGAGGTGGCAAAAGAAAAAGAAAAGAAAGGATCAAAGGATCGGTTTAAGGAGAAGAGGATTGAGCTCCGGGGAACAGGCGACAGTCTCAGGCCGGTTTGGATCTCAGCGAAACTCCTCTCTCTGTCCAGGTCAAAGGCCGCGTTCCTTCAGATAAGTCCCTTCACCCCTCATTCTCCAGGCTTCTCCAGCTGACTGCCCAACTCACCTGCCCCCTCACATGCCCACAAACACTTACACTCATCCTCAAACCCCCCCCCACTGACTTCCATTGCATTCATTCATTCAATTGCCTTCATTCTTCCATACACCCTCTCACCCCATCCTCATACACCAACACCCCACAGAACTCCTATGAACTGAACTGAACTCTTTCGACCTGAACTGAGCTGAACTGCTCGGTGTTCATTCATAAACCACACACCTGGCCACTCACACTCATTCCCTTGCACACACACCCTCTAGCCTTTGACTATAATTATTATGAGCCTGATTACTGAGTGAATTTAATTTCTGTGAATTAACTATTTAATTTCTGTAAACTGATTTCTGAAAACCGGTAGTGATGATTAACTTAAGATGATGATGATGAATTGTTTTAGTTGCTGACTGATTTCTGAAGACCGGTATTGATGATTAATTTCAAATGATGATGATGATAATCGTTTGTGGTTGCTGACCAATTTAACATAAGAACAATGAGACGCCTTTGGTGATGTTATTTTTTGTAGCACTGAAGTAAGCAAGCAGCTGGGTTTTTGTGCTCTCTCCAATGGAACTTAACTAATTTAAACATTTGATTAGGTTTATATGTGTGTATATATATATATATATATATATGTGTATATACACATATATATATATATACATATACATATATATGTATATGTATATATATATATATATATATTGGTGTTTGGTAGTGTATTTAGGATATCTGCCAGAGAGGGCAGTAGGGGGTCTGAGTGATCACCTTTTCAGACATAGAGTAAGCAGCAGCAGCTTGATTAACCCGTAGGGAGCACCTGGGCAGCCCTTTGTCTGCCCTGGGTGTGATGTGGGAGCAGAAGCACAGAGATGCCATTGGTATGTATGGATCTCATTCATTGTCTTCTAGGAAGATATGAAATTATATGATTGATTTGGTTGAGGATTTAATTCAATTTCATTTAGAATGGGGTGTGTATGATCCTGTATATGATTTAAAATGCTGATACTAATTTCTGTTTATTTCTTTTAAGGTTTTCAACCTAGCTATCTATCCACTATCTACTACCTACTTCTACTATCTAATGATCAACTGATTTGGTTTTGAGAAATGGAAATAAAAAAGGAAAAGTGGAATGAGTTGACTCCTGCGTCCTCCGCCTGGTCGAGTTCAGGCAGTTTTGAATTAAATAACTCGACATTATCCCTGAACATACTCTTACTCATGTCTGACAGAACAATGCACATTATATCACTACCAGCACATCTCTTCATTGGGAAATAGTAGAGTAATGTCTCCATCTACTGGAGTGCTTTGTCACTCACATTCTTCATTTGATGCTTTCTTTATTTCTCACCGTCTGGATCTTTAAACCATGCAAGAATCCATTACTCAGTGCAGATAAAGTCCATACAGCTTTGTTCACCAAACAACAAACAAACGTGACAGCAGCGGAGCAGGGCGTACCGTAGCGGTCGAAAAACTGTGTGCTCCTTCCGTCTAGCAACACCTGACACCTGCCAGAAGAATCCCACCCATATGGAATCCCCATACGGTGAGAAATAAAGAAAGCATCAAATGAAGAAGCGAATCCGGAAGCTGTTTGTTTCAATGGACACAAGTTATAGTCATGCAGTAGCAGCAAACGCGTCGATTCGTTTTAGCCCGTCTATGCAGCCCCTCAGTGGCTTTAAGTTTAGGGTTAGCCGCTACACTAAGTCAAAAACCTCTGTGCTCCTTCCGTCTAGCAACACCTGACACCTGCCAGAAGGTTCCCACTCATATAGAAATTCACACAAAATACAATGAGGACACCTACTGGCCAAATTTGGTATCTACATATATTCGCATAGAAATGGCTCCTACAATAATAATGCCATTATCCTTATTATCATCATTGCCACTACACTAAAATAAAATAAAAAATAGTAGTATATAATTTAAAAGCAGTGGAGTAGTGATTACAGATTATATTCAAAAGCAAGGCAGCAGTACTGGCCCAGAACAGAATCACATGGCACTCCAATAGGACTTTGTTGTGATGAGAAACTTTGAAATTATACAAAAATGTTCATTACTCAGTGCTTTTTATTTGAAAATTGTGTCAAATACAATATGAAGGGGTCCCATAGGTGGGTGTTTTGCATCTGTGCCCAGGGGGCCATTGTATCATAATCCATCCACAGTGAGTGGTCAGCAGTAAATTAGGTTAAATTTTAAATATCCTCTCCACAATTGGAACTCTTTTCATGACTCCTGCCCTAGTCCTCCTTTTGGCCATTCTGCCCATCTCCTACCATTTTTCCATCCAGCCACCAGATGTGTCCAGGCTTTCCCTCCTGTCCCAGTCAACTGACACCCCTCACCTATCTGTTCACCTGTTCACCATTTCACCATTTCCAATCACCAGACCTCCCTCACCATACATACACACCTGCTTCCATTTCCATCATCAGCTCCCTTGCATTTATATCAGTCCCCTTCCTCTGCTTCTTGTTAGTTCATCGGTGTGTGTTCTGGCATGTACTCCTAGCGTCTGCTACCTGTTCAGTGCTTCCTTGTAAACCATCTACCTGTGTCTTGTATTCTCTTGTCTGTTCCTGCCAGTTTGTCTGTCTACTTGTCTGCCTGATTGTCCACCCATTCCACCTGTAAACCTGTTTATCAATTCAATTGTTTAATTAAAGTATCTCCACTGCCTTTGTGTGTCTGTATTTGGGTTGAGAAAAAACCAAACCAAGACAGACAAGAGATGTTTGTAATTATAATTTGTTTCTGATGTTTTGGTTTTTTTTCACAAAAGCTAGATTACTTATGTAAATATATTACAAATTCTTAAAGTTGCATCTTCTGCTTCTCCCTTATTGAAAACTTTTAAATTTGCAAATATTGTTATTTTCATTTCACTTCTCAGTGTGTGTACACTGGAGGTTTCAAATTTTCACATTACACTTGGGTAAATTGCATATTGGACCACCACTTGCTTCAGGACTATTTATGTCAAAGTGCTTGTGCTGCATGTCTTAAACTCAGATTAAAGGTGAGCAAAACCCTCTATTGTTTACTATGCACGTACATCTTCTGCACCTTTGTATCTGATAAAGAGTGGGACAGCCCAGCTAACCAACAAAATTAACAACACAGGTTAATGACAACAGCTGTGCTGTATTGTTGGCTATATCAATATTTAAAATGTGTGATTACAAGTTAGAGATCACTGAAAGTTATCTTAACTTTGCTGTCACACAGCCCCAGTCTGTGTGTTCAGTGCCCTTCTGCTCATTAGTCACCTTCACATGTTTTAATGCAGCTTAACTCACAATATTGGCTCATTTACACATTTTTGTTTTTCTTGTCACACAACTGAACAAGTAGGCTATGATATAGGGATTTATTTGCAGCCCATAAACATTACATGTTAAGCAAAAGTAATTCAGAGGCAAAAATGTATCTTAAATCTTGACTTGAATGTATCTTATTATAATTATAAGCACATATTTTAGACATGGTCTTGACATTGTTAATCTTCCATACAGTGTCCCCTCTCGAGACGGGGTGGTAGGGTTGGTATCTATGCGCGCTTCGTTTATATAGAGCAACAAGAAATGTGGTTTTGCTCTGTGTTAAGTGTCAAATTGACATTCAGCGATAAATTATAAATGTGGATTGCAATAAAAACACTTTCACTATTCAGTATTTCAACATTTTCACGATGCATTGTGTGGGACGGGCCATGATGTACCGGCGGAAGGATACGGTACTCAAACTGAGGCATAGTAGCACGCCGGCTTAGCTGGATTGAGGTTTCCGGGCAACTCTACTGCAACGCAGGGATACAGACTCCACAGATTCTCCTGAAGATATATTTTATTAAATTTCGATATCATTTAAATACTTCATTGGAGTATCAATCTCCTAAATAAGTTAAATACAGAACCATACATTGGGCGTTTTGTCATCTACACGGAGCTAGATAAGTCAACGGGACAATGGTGAGTACAGGCTAACGTTACCGTGAGTAGCACTCCCAGCAAGCGTTAGTTGTGTATGGTTAACGCCGACTGTACTGCTTTGGTCTGGAAGTAGCTAATTGTTGTTGCATTCAGTCGAAAGCATGAACGGAAATCTTCTACTCATCTAATAACCCTATATAAAATTCCATACGAGCTAACCATAGCTTTCTGACGTTTTACAAGCTAGAAAACTGCCGAGGTGCATTTAACTTTACCTGCAATCACTTAACCTAGTTGTCAGTTTACCACAATTATGCTCAGTGGTTTTCTGTTTAACGTCCCAGAGCAGACGATCAAAGAAAACCATTTTCTTCATTAGTATCAGTCAGTTGCGCAGCATGCACGTCATGTTGTGAGAGGAAACATGCGGTCTGTTCCCTGCTCTAATGTAGTATCAGTCATTAAACTCATTTGCTCAAGCGTGTGTAAATACTGTGGTTTTAACCTCAGTGCTTTGATCAAGGTTTGCAGCGTTTTTTTAACGTTAGCTTTGAGTCGAGAGTGGGCGTGGTGGTGGTGAAAGGGGTGCTGTGTAAAAATAGACTGTCCAGTGTTAACGTGATCTTGAAACCCATCTCGTTAATCTTGCAAGACAGATATCAGAACTCTGGCTTGAACTGTCTTGCTAATTACAATTTTGCCATACCACATAACAAGTTGCTGCTGCAACATGGGTAGCACCTCCTGCAGGCACATCAGCAGGGTAATTTGAATGTAGTTTGACATGCGCAACAAGCGAAAAAAGGTTGTAATCGCCACCAATTGCGATTACATAAGAATACAGCTCACAGGTGGTAGAATGCCGCTCGCCTTTAGCAACAATTGTTTGTCATATTGCAAGGAGTTCAGGAGGGCGGTGTTGCATCTTTTCTGGACTGTGTGTTCTCGCAACAGCACCATGACAGCATCTTCTCCGTTACGTATTGCGCCATAGCGTTGAACCGCATTCTGCTCCTGCTGAATGATCCTGTTTTCCACCCCTCCTTCTGCGCCTCCCTTCCCCCCGCATTGAACCAAACCATGCTTGGTGCAGTAGGCTGTAAGGACCCGCAATGCACCCTCCAAAATGGGAACTAACTATATATATAAAAAAAAGCCCTGTTGTGGCATTACAAATGAATCCTCTCTACTGTTCCTTATCCTTTTATTTTTCACTACTGTTATTATCTGTATTGTAAAAGAACAGACACATGGTGTGTGATAGATATTGTCCTTTGCCAAGTAAGGAAACTTGGATCATGCTACAGTAGCCTATCAGTCGCATGCTGCCCAGACAGAATGTGCTTATCTTGACTGTGTGATTGAATAAAGAAAACAACAACCTGCAGCCATTGTAGTTCTCTGTTCTTGACTTGAGAATATGTGATACGATCTCTTATTTACTGATGAGTTGAAAGCTAGCAGTACTGTCTTGCTGAGCACTTTTCACAGCAGCCGTATAAATCCTCTAACATACAACTGTGCTCTGCCCTGATCCAGACACTGCTTGCTTCAGCACCACCAAATTGGCTGGATGAATACTCTGCAGTCTCTCTTGCTCTGTTCTTTTTATCCCCCCACCCCCAAACCAACATGGAGACTCATTGAAATCGACTCGAAGAACACACAGCGTTACCACCACCTCGAGCTACAGAAATGTTATCTTTAATCTCTTTGGTTTTGAAAAAGGCAAAGGATAGTTAGAAACTTGTTTTTCCTTCATATGTGATGCAACATCATGTGGACACAGTGGAGGCAAGAGTTTTTTCTTGTTTGGTGCATTAGCTCTGGAGCTACATGTTTAATTGCCGCTTTTGATTGAACTTGGAAAAAAATAAGCCCTTGGGCATTATGATGATATAACACAATCGGTTTATCTTCATCACTTAGCTAACATCAGTACTGTAATGGTGTAGACTTGCAGGATTTATTGTGTGCAGCATTTAATTTACTGATCATGCCAGTTGTTTCCCAGTCATCTGAGAATCCTATCTTGACAATATGAAGGAATACACACAGACACAAAGCAGTAAACACTGTCAAGCAACAGTTGGCACAGGGGTTAGTCTATGGTAATGAGCCGAGCCTCATGTTTGTTCAGTAAAACAAAAAAGATATAAAGAGGTGGTTAGTTGCAGTGATATTCAGTGTGCTACATTGGCGACCCTGTTCGTGTCTCACTAATTATAGCAGGCGTGTGTATTTCGGGCTGTGGAATATTTATACCCGTCCCTCATCACACTTTCTCAGCCTGAAGTGGGCATGTTGACTGACTTAGACAGGCCTGGTAAGACCTCAAGAGGAGGACAGAGTGACGTCTCAGATGAAGTTGAAAAATGTGTTGGGTTTACGACTGCAACACATTCATTTTTTGTTGCAAATAAAGGTGGTAAATCTAAAAGCAGCAGGTATAGATAGTTGTGTTTTTCTTAAAAAAGAAACTTGCATCTTCTGTGAGGTTTTCTATTTGATGATCTCACTCCAATAATGCAACAAGTCTTACATTTTAGTTTAAATAGAATACAAGAGGCCCTTTCTTGTATTGTTTAAAAGACCAGCGCAGCCAGCAATTTATCCTTTACTAAGCGCCAAACTAACAAAGGACAGCGAGGTTAAACAATAGTTTAATCGTTTTTTTTCTTAATTTCTTTGTATCTCTAAGCACAGTCCTTAGCTAGGTCATAGGCAACAAGTAAGTCCAGCTCTCGGATCATATATCCAGTCTGTTTTGAATTAGTTTGTTTTGGAGTGCATTTGCATTGGCAGATTTGTTTAAGTTGTTTACACAGTGGAGTCTGCTGCAAGTGCTCTTCATTGGCAATTAATTTATATCTATATTTTTAAGTCACATCCACCCAAAATCGTTTTTTATTAGTATTAAGTATTAAACATGAAACACTCAACCTCTGTAAATGTGAAAGTTGGCTGTAAAAAGTGTCTGTAGTTTCCTTTTTCACAACCAACAGCAGCTCTGAATTGTCCTGTTATGTGTTGAGTTGATGCAATAAAGAAAAAAATGTCTGGTTCATACTGCAGTATACTCACAGTCCACATCTTAGCGCAAATGTAACATGCAATTAAAAGTGAATTATGAAGCTTTGGCTATCTGTAAGTTTTTGATAGCAGTCTGGTTATCCCTGCCTGTGCTGCTAGTATCGTGTTATGGTGAATTCAAACGAAACCCCAGATCTTGAGGAGATCGGGAGTTTTATGGTTTTCACAAGATTCAGAGCAAAACTAGACAAGGAGTAGTGAATTGGATGGAAACAGTGTGTGTCAACAGTTTTCTGAGTCAAGTTGGCTAGTGCCATGTGTTTGGAAGTAGCTGGTAGTGAGACTTATGGTTCTCTGCCAAAGTGTTCTAGCTGTAGATGCCATAAGTGAAGGAATCAAAATCGGTTTTTCAGCTTGTGTGTGCAGGTTTTGAACTATTCACAATGGGGTGTTTTATTTTACCCTGAGAACAATGGTCTGTATAGGTTTATGTAGCCAGTGCTCACTAATGAAAAAACGTTTTGATCTTTTTCAGCACTCAGCCAACAAATCTTGTATAGGGTTGTTAAGAGGGTCAGGGCCTAGTCTAAGACGGAGCGCAGGTGGGTCACTCGTCTTAAGCAATTATAGCAGAAACACTATTGCATTTCATTACACTAATATGGTGTAATTTTATTGCTGACAGCATGATATATTATTCAACTCTTGCCTGTATAATGTGACTGTATGTTGCTTACAATGTCATTTTTAGATGTGTATCATTTTAGGTCTGCCCTGTCTTATCATGCTTTCACACATGCACTGCAACCCTGAACCTATCTAGACATTACCTAAAGGAGCTGTATGTGAAGACGCAAATTTCCGAATCAGTTGGACTGGACATTAAATGGACCCTGCCAGTTCCTTCGTACAAAGTCTGTGTAATGGCCAATTGAGCCCATGTGAGAATAGAGCAGGTCATTGTTTGGAGAATTCACAGCAAGCGAATGGGCGTGTCGATACTGGAAGAATACAAACATCCAAGGGTGAGGATGAAGGTCATTTACATGAAGATGAAAATGTCTGGCTGGAGAGATGATGAGATTTGGGCTAGCAGACAAATTCAAGGAATAGTAAGATACTCGGTTGTTTTCTCTAAACAAAACACTGTGACTTACCTAGCTTATTTTTGTGTCATATCCTGCCTCCTGCACGCTCTACCCAGGCGCCACCCCATGCCTAAACCAAACAGAGCACTTCCAGTAGGTGAGAACACATCTGACACGGACAGTCGCTGCTTGTGGGCTGCGTGTGTGAAAGTGCTCTGTTGTCCGAAGTTCATATGAGAAGCTATAGTGTTAAATAAACTCACATTCTACTGCTTTTTTCAAGATTGCATCAGTCTAAAGAACCAAGTCTGTCCTAAATATATCCTGGTGATTAAAAAAGATTAACATTAACAGGGCTTCCAAAAAGATTATTTTCATTATGGACCTGTCAGTGCTTTACCTGTGTCTTATTCTTTTATTAACAGGCTGATCAGCTGACTGAGGAGCAGATTGCTGGTGAGTGCATACCTTAGATGTGTTTGATTTCTTTCCTATAGTTTTAGCAGGTCCTTAACACACCATCAAACCAAAAAATCAAAGGCATCTAAGAGTATGAGGATGTAAGCTGGTGGTTCAGGCCTGGTTCTGTTTATGGTCCTATCCTGCTTACTAGTTAATTACACACACATGAATTCACTAGATGCTAACCAGATCCCAGTGATGTGGTTAAAATAAAAAATTGGCATGATTTTGAGTCCAGAGTCTCAGAATAAAACCTCACATGAAATGCTCCCACTGAAAGATGGATTTCTTGTCAGACTACTTGAAAGATTAACTGCAAAGTGTTTGTCTCAACCTGAATGCTGATGGCATACTAACAGTTTTATTTCTGTGAATGTACAGAATTCAAGGAGGCATTCTCGCTGTTTGACAAGGATGGTGATGGTACAATCACTACCAAAGAGCTTGGGACTGTGATGCGCTCTCTGGGACAGAACCCCACTGAGGCTGAGCTGCAGGACATGATCAATGAGGTGGATGCTGATGGTGAGGACACAAAAAATGATATGTGTTAAAACCTAAAATTACCTACAGTTATCTTCTTCCAGCACACGTAGAATGGAGATATTTTTAGGGTACTTGTGCATTTTCTCTGTTGACTGCTATTGCCCATCATATCAGCCCTCTCTGTTACCCATGCAAAAGGCCAAAATCTAATTAGATACATCTGTGACATTTATTTTATGCCAAATGCACAAAACCAAATTACTTCGATGAATTTCCCAATTAGAAATTTTCCAACCCTGCTGCCCCACAATGGCAGTATCAGAATGGAGGCTGTGGCAGCAAGTAGGCCTGTAGCGTTTATGAATGACCTTTGTTATGTAGCATCTTCTCAATAAATTAAATTTAAAGTGTTTGAAAATGTAATCTTATCTAATTTATGACTTTCCTCACAACTCTCACAGTCCTCTTGTAATTCACTTAAATCACATGATGCCATACGATGGAAGAGCATACCTCATTAAATTTGGATGAAATGTTATACACTGCTGTATGGTGATTGTGCTTAGGACACAATCAAGGCGATAATAAGGACATGATGATAAGTCCAGCCAAATCTGATGTTGATACTTGAGTGTAAAAAAAAAAAGTGATCCCTCACATTTTGTAATGAATACAATAAAAACCTCTTTCTGTGTAGGTAATGGTACAATTGACTTTCCTGAGTTCCTGACCATGATGGCCAGGAAGATGAAAGATACAGACAGTGAGGAGGAGATCAGAGAAGCCTTCAGAGTCTTTGACAAGGTATATTAGGATTGAGCTGACTGAAAATATCAACTGGTACTACTTGACTGAATTAACAGCTGTGTGTTTTGCCACAGAGCCAATTTGTGTATCCATTGTGTGCTTGTGATGGCAAGACAAAACGGGTTCAAAACGTCTCACGTTATGCATTCTTGTATGTTTAGAGAGAGACTGTTCAAAGTTGATTTGTGCATGTTGTTTGGGTGTCACACAAGATTGACGTTTTATTTTTCCTTTGACCGTCACTTTGGTTCATTAAAAGGCTTTTAGTCGGTGTGCAACGATCGTGTTTAGCATGCAAACAACAAATGTTTAACAATCACTTCTAAGTACAGGTAATGCAAAAGAACTGCAGTTCAGCCAAATCATAAATGTTACTTACACCACAGGTGAAGACAAGCGTAAACTCTTGTCTCTGGCACTGAGAAAACCGCAGAGATTATCATAGTATAGACACTGAAACTGACCAGTGGTATTTGAGGTACTTATGTAAAATGGTAAATAAATATAATAACCGATGTTCTTCTGTTGCTGTCTCCAGGATGGTAATGGCTACATCAGTGCAGCAGAGCTACGGCATGTCATGACCAACTTAGGGGAGAAGCTCACTGATGAAGAGGTGGATGAAATGATCCGCGAGGCTGACATTGATGGCGATGGTCAGGTCAACTATGAGGGTGAGATTCTTTTTGTTTGAGTCATACGTCTAATTCGCAGATGTTAAAATTAACAGTGATGCACTAATCTCTACCCTGTAACTACTTGTGTGTTTTTTTGGGGGTTTTTTTTCTCTTTGCTGCTTGACTTGTTTTCACTAAACACCTTTGTGTTTTTGCTTCAACCTTATTAAAACGTATGTATTGTTGTATTAGTAAAACAGAGACCTGGAAAATGGTAACATAACTTTAACAATAGGCATTCACATAATTTTAACAGTGTCTTGTAACAAAAGTGTTAACAGCTTCCAAAATGTCACTATTTGTTTTGTTTCCTGCTCTTTTCACAGAGTTTGTCCAGATGATGACTGCCAAGTGAAGAGAACACTGAAATTTCTCTCAACATTGCTTGTCCTCCTAAGATCACTGTCTTTAAGAACCAAAAAAAGGAACAATTATCAAATGATAAACTAACTTACCCCCCAGAATCACTTATCTGTAGAATTTCGCAATTTGTGCTTCAGTACATCCAACTACTTCTAAGGTATCTGTTTAGCAAACACCAACAGAATAATCCCTAGAGAAGTTAATGGACCAAGCTTTAAGAGGGCCGAAGCCCCCGTACTTCAGACCAAGATTCTGCTGAGTCACCCAGCTCCTGATTAATTTAGAGGAAAGAGCAACACTGAAAAGGCAGAGGGATAGGAACCCATGCCACAGTTCGTAAAGAGAAGTTGGCTATTTAATTCTTTCCAATTAATCTTCAACGGTGAAAATTGACTTTCTTGCACCAGTGGTGATTCTCCAAACACTGAATTGAGTACTCTTCTTGCATGCACCCTTTCTGTGGCTGTCTCTTGTCACAACAAGGAGGCTCTGATCCCACTAGAGGTAGTGGTCAGATTGTGTACACACTGGAGGTATATACATAAATATATAGCTATATATCTGTAAAATTTGTGTCACTATTGATTATTGCAAGAGCAAATAGTTGCAATGTAGGGTGTTCATTGGTGCTCGGTTTCAGATGAGAATTCTTATACCTTGGAGAGTTCGGACAAGAATGAGAGACTGTAAAGTGCTGAAGGTTTTTTCCCCCTTGGGGATGTTATATTGTCTTGTTTTGAGTCGTGGGCTTTTCACTGCCTGCAGCACTGATTGGAGACAGTAGTATGTTGTATTGCTTCAGGACGATTATTGTGAAAACCCACTTGAGGACTGCAGTTAATACATTTGTTCTGCAAACAGATATCCTGATGATACAATATTGATGTAATGCTTTATAAATGTGTTCTCAAATATTAATGTATTGATGACAAACTTTGGTCACAAAATATATCTATATATATTAGTGTATCGTAAAGTTTGCATTGCCTATTGTTGTAGTAAATGACCTGTGACATGTTTTATCTTTGGTTTTGAAATGTGCCATAATACTCTAAAAACGCCTCAACCTTCTTGCAAGACTCGTAGTTCATTAGAATATAATAAATCTACTTAATATAATAACATAAAAATACATGCAGTTGAACATATTTGCACTTTGGTATAAACCATGTGGATATTACAAAGGATTTGTTCTAAAAGAAGAAAAAGAAACCAAATGTCACTGTTGCTGCTGCTATAACAACTCATATGTTTCACTCATTTCTCGTCCTTGTTGGTGTCTGATCTTCAATTTGTAGTCCAGTGATTCAAACTTCAATCTGCTTGCTGTTTTATTGAACAGAATACATATACTGTATATTCACAAATAACTACTTGTAGTGGGGGTGCTGTGTTTCATTTGGGCTATTAGAACGGGGCATTCAGATGGGGATGAAATAGGGGTTGTAGCAAGGAATTCAGCTTGGTTTCAGTGTTAGGTTTTTGAACAGTTGGCTAAATTTGAAAAGAAGGTTAGCTGAGGTATCTTTGATTCCTCAAAGTACTGAACTTAAATACCGCTCTGTTTGAGGCATTTTAATTGGTTACCTTTGATTAAGATGTGTGGAAGAAAATGGTAAATGGACTGTTAACTTTTGAAGGTATCTCAAAAATGTAAAGATGTGATATATTTTCCATAAATCAATAAATTGACTGAGCTTTACTTCACCTACATTTCATTGTCATGTTTCATCTTGCTTGAGTCAGTTTTACACAGGCATACACCCTGTTGGTTTCCAGACAATGACTGAAAAAGAGATTCACTGCCACTGCCACTTTATAATATTGCACTATATCCTTTCTCTGCCCGTGTCCCTGTGCCAGAAAGGCGCACTAATCCCATCCAGACAGCCTCAGATTGGGTCAGGGCAGAGCAGGTCACCCCAGCCTTCACTGGAGAAACTATCCCAGGCACAGGCTATATTTAGCGGCTCATGAGATTGCTACAGGAGTCTGGTAATCCAGGTCAGAAAGGGTTATGACCTCTCACCCAAACATACTAAATGCAAACAAGGCATGCAGGTGTTGTCGCTGACAGGCAAGATCAAGAGCCAATGGGATGAGGTTGTAACTGGAGCAAGCAGCTGTGATTGGATGTGTGTCCATATGTTAATCGTGTGGTTAAGTAGATAAAGTTAAATGACTTAGGAAACAGGAGCACACTCAGCAGGACAATAAGAACGCCAGCATCACAGGCACAGGCAGGTGTGATTATCCCTGTCTGGTTGTGTAACTCTAACAGTGTTGTGCAATAATGGACGTCTCACAGACGGCAGTGAGAAAGATAATGCTTTTTAAGTGATATGCTGGCTTCATCAGCTGTACTTTGAATATAAATCAAATATGTAAGTGTCCAGTGTTAATATTTGGGTCATAAAGTACAGAAAAACACAGATCTAGAGTATTTTCTCCAGTGGTGGAAAACAAAGTCTATTTACTCCATTTAGTCCATTTAGTGTATGTTACAATTTTTTGTGTGTTACTTTATACTTCTATCTAAGTACATGTCAGAGGAAAATGTACTTTTAACTCCACTATATGTATTTGACATCTATGGTTACCTACCTTTCAGATTACAATTGTACAAAATATATCATTGTGCAAAATATATTATCTTTACAAAATACAGTATGATGAAATATAGATTAAACTACAGTATACTGTCTAATGCTGGTAAGTAAAGTTGTCTTCACCTCAACTACTTAATACTGCTTAACTGTTACAGTGGATATAAACACCCCTGTTAAAATGGTCGGTGGTGTAAAAAAAAAAAAGAAGATCAATCTTTTCAGGACTTTTTATGAGTCACTGTCAAGTGTGACTAGTAAACGTGGTAAAATTCAAGTAAAAAACAAACATCACACCATAATAATCTGGTTGCATAATTGTGCAGATCCTTAAAACACAAGTTTAAAGTTTTTATTATCAACACAAGTTGTGTCAGTTCCCAACACAATAATGTATCTATATAAGGAAAACATATTTTGTATTACTTTTAACACAACTACTGTGTAGAGAGTTTGACATTTGCGATGAATTTTCCAACACAGTAATTGTGTTAAATGTGAAACAAGGTGTATGGCCTTATTTAGACACATTATTGTGTTAAAAAATGTGTTAATTTTATTCCTAAGGATTTGATTTTAAATATGTAGACGCCCAACTGAATAAAAAAGGTTAACATTTATTGTACAATTTATTTTACCAATGCAGACATGAACATAAAAGATTTCATCAGCAAAAGTTTAAATGCATATGATCATCAACTTTAAATCATTCTAAAATTCCTCACATGCATCATTACCATGACAAAATACATTTTCCCATTCTATACTAGCATTTCTGAACACATTCATTAGGGGTCATTAGGTTTTTAGTATAAAATAATTCCATATAAAATTGCTTGTTCATAAAGTCTATTAAATTATCAACACATTTTCCCAGTCTAAAATTTCTTCAAATGGGTCATAAGCAAATATTCTGTATGAAATTTGTTCTCATACTGTATGCATATGGTCATTAACATAAGAAGCACATTCTGTAAGCAAAATGTGCACCAGATCCTAAAAGGTGCAGAATGACCCTACACAATTTTTACCTGGGATTTAAGAAAACTGTCTTCCTGGAAAAAATGACAACAGGCTTAATGGTCTGAAATTTACAAGGTCACGCATGCTAACCACTTCAAATACATCTTTTTTGTCCACCACATAATCATAGTAATGATGGTCTAAAACATTCAAATAACAAAATTCTGACAAACATTAACACTTCTTCCTTCTCACATTCTGGAAGAATGTGAACAATTTCACATATCCTAGTTATACACTAGTATAACTATATACACTAGTTAAGTGTTTCCTAGTTGCACTCCTTGTTCTGTATGTCTGACCCAAACACACTTACTGTGCGTGCAACATATAGCGCTTAAAATGCCAAGATTTCCATTCTTTGTATGTTGCTCTTCATGGAGCAGCTCACTAAGTTACTAAAGATCCTACAATGACAGGAAAGGCACAAGGAACTCACATTCTCCGGTTGGATTCTGACATTAATACACATTTTGTTAAACTGTCCAACACATGAAGTGTGTTACGCCTTTTTTGTATTTTTTCACACAAAATGTGTTATATGTATAGCAACACTTTTTTGTGTCATTTTTTTGACATCCTATCTAATGTATATAAGTAAACATAATGTTATTAGTACTGATGCATTCATCTGAACTTTAAGTAGCATTTTACTGTTGTAGTTGGTAATGTAGTACCAATTTTAACCTCACTGTGTAGTTTAACAATATTTTTGTTTATTTGATCATGACGTTGACCAAAAAGTACAATATTTCCCTCTGAAATGTAGTGGAGTAAAAGTAGTGGCATATAATTTTAGCTCTTAAGTTTAAGTACATCAAAACTGTTCAGACTTACAGAGCTTAATTAAATGTAATTAGTTACTTTCCACCACCGTTGGCCACAAAATTCAACAATTCAAAAAATTATTTTTGCCAAGTATCCTATACACACTCTTATCTCTAACCAAATACCTTTGACTTATTATGAGAATATAAATCAACTTATTCAAGTTCTAGACACCATACAGACTGTGGCCCATAAAGATTGCCACCACAAACATGATCCTAGTTGGAAAGGATTTTACCACAACTTCAACACTAGATGGTGTTGTTTCATCAAACTCAATTTGCAACATCGGATTTGCTTCAAGAGCAACACATAAACTCCAGTGTGACTAACACAGGAAGGAGATAAGACACTGTAAAACTTGAATGAGCAAGTGTTTCAGTGAAGTCTTCAGTTAAATGTGATTAAACACAGCCTGCTTTGAGACAGCATGTGTCGATCAAAATACAGAAATGTGTGTGTGTGTGTGTGTGTGTGTGTGTGTGTGTGTGCGCGCGCATGCATGCAGGAATTGTATGGTAACTCGTTCATGTGTTTGCCTACCACACCCACTACCCATAATTGTGTACTTTGCAGTTGTCGTTATGCTTAGGGGAGAGAGGGTTGTGGAGCATTATGTAAACTTTACTGTGCAATGCAGCCTCCTGACTAATGTAACAATTTTAGAAAGAACATGTTTGTATAGCTCATTTAATGCATAGACAAAATCCCTCCCCTTTCAAAAATATACCCACTGTAGACCAAATCTCCCTTTCTGTCATCGTCTTACGTCTCCTTCCCCTGAAACCATACACTACCACATGTTTGATGCCACCCTTACTCACTTTGCATGTGACCAAACAAACACTGTCAACCCTCTTTGTTCTTCTCTTCAAAGTGACACGACATCCTACAGCTACCATTACTATGCTTTCTGGCTGTGAATATTTGGGCGTTTGAAAATAGGCTTTTCTGAGTTGCACCTGTTTGGCATGACAAATAGAGGTAAAGTGAAACAAAACAATGCACAGCACTGTCTCTGCTCAACTAGCCGCAGGCTGATTAATCACCACGTTCATGTTAAAAACAAACATACACACATAGTAGTGTTTAAGGTGTGGGTATGCCTTGTTTCACCTGTTTAGTGCTAGCTCTCCTCACATTTGCAGCCATTCTTGAATCGCCCCTGGTGAGATATCTTCCCAACATGTCCCATACATAACTGAACTATTTAAACAATGTCTTCTACAACTGTGATTCCCACCCTTTTCGGCTTCTGATCCTGATCTTTTTTTTTCTTTTAAGATTTTGGCATTTCCATCTTTTTTGGACAGTTGATGGTACGACACAGATGGGGAGATTTGCAAGATATAGTAAGTTCCTGCATGGCTGGGATCAAACCATGGAAGCTGTGGTTATACAGTATCCGTCTTAGCCCCTTGAGCACCAGGACACACCCTCTTTTAGTGGGAATTTTCTCAAGAAGCACATAAAAAAAAACGCATTTATGTATCACATTTTCCATTACTGTAAAAACAGATGTTCAAGTAATAAATTTGCCAGTCAAATTTTCAACTAAATGCAACTATCTGATAACTACAATGTGTTCATGTGATATTTACTCATCTTATAAGTTGGTGAAGAATACCATTAACACACAAAGTAACAAATTGTGGAATAATCCTCCAGATTTTGAGGTAACTTTTCTAATTTTACACATTTATATGCTAAATTGTAATGACTTAGCTGATTATCTTATTTGTAAATACATGACTAGTACAGAATACTGTTACATACTGTGAACTTTATGAACCCCTTCTCTTGGTTTTTATGCTATGTTATATTGTATGTGTTCATGAAATTGTGAAATATTACACTGGGCTAAAAAAAAAAAAGCTTGTCATTCAAAATTGAACTTCTCAACAACAAGCTTTTACTGTTACTTCAAAAAATGTGTCACTTTAAACAGACAGGTAATCAGGCAGGGAAAAAGGCTGAAAAGCTACGACAGATAAGACACAGCAGACAAACCGGGCAATTATAACCAGTGTGAGGCTAATGAGGGAATGGAGAACAGGTGAGTAGGTGGGTGTGATAATCAGGTGGCAGGGCCTGGAGTTACAGTAGAGTAAATGAAAGGGACAGGATCTGGAAAGACAGAAGAGTTAGTAAATGGGCAAAAATATGCAGAGGTGGATGACATAACTAGATAAATGAACAGGATCTGTGACATCTAAGACATGCTCTTGGGAAGAATCAGTAGTGTATTCCAGTCAC